GGTGGAGTAGTGGCAGTTGCTTAAATCTGGATGGGCAGATGTAGCTCGGTGTCAAATTTGCTGGCTTTCACTAGTCTTCCAGCCACCTCATTTCTCGGTGAATAAATTACGGCGCTGACCCTGAGAAGTCAGCCCTTTGGGTCTGCGTTGGGAACGTATCCAGGCAGTTCTGCAAGATGATGCTGCTCATCTCTGTTGTTAGTGCTGGGGAAGGCATGTCTCAGCGAGGCAGGAAGCTTGTGGGGACCACCGTGATTCAGGCAATGTCGTTATCAAAAAGCGTGAGCAGATGGCAGAGGGGAAACACTTGCCCTGATGAGGGTGAGAGTTGCCTTGCTGTAAGGCAGTGCAGAGTCTCTGCAGCGTAGCTGAGGCCGTTGTGCCCAGCCCATGGCTCTGTTGGCAGGAGAGATGCCAACAGGGCTGTTGTGGCCAGTGCCACAGCTGCTAACATCTGCACAGATGAACATCAGGCAGAGACTAGTGTGGTACCCTCCTTGGGAGATGCCGTCCTGGAGCTGCTTGGACCTTCTCCATGGGTGTCCTAGGTGTCCAAGGGTGTTGTACCCTCTTTGGGACACACCATCCTAGAGCTGCTTGGACCTTCTCCATGGGTGTCCTAGTGTCCGTGAGTGTCGTACCCTCCTTGGGAGATGCCGTCCTGGAGCTGCTTGGACCGTCTCCATGGGCGTCCTAGGTGTCCGTGGGTGAGCTGCACAAGCGTGGGACCTCTGCCTCCCTGCTACAGAGGTGCTTGGCTTGGCTGGGCTTCACCTTTGCAAATGGGGAAAACATCTCTTCCTAATCCAGCAGGTAATGAATTTGTTCCTGGAAAAAAAGCTTCCATTCCTGCACGGTTATAAGCATGCTTCTGAGTCACAGCTACCCAGTCCCAATTTGAGATTTGGCCAGAGCACCGCAGATGATTCTCATTTGATCCTATTTTTTTTTTAACTGTCTCAAAGTAGCTAAAGAATTAATTAAAAATATAAAATCGAATCAGGATGCCAAAAGCCACTTTCTAAGATGAGTGCAAGCCCAGCAGAGCTCCTGGGAACATCGGTCGCCAAAGCAGAGCCTGTCTGCCCTCCCCAGACCCCGGGCTGCGTTGGGGATCTGTCCGCTGCCTGCTGCTGTCCCTGAGACGAGGAGCAGCCTCTGGCTTTCTGAGGAGCTGGGCAGGGGCTGCTTTTTGACCACACATCCCGTGCCCAGCCGTGCGTGGATGAGGTGGGAGATGCTGGGCTGCCTGGGGTGAGGAGGAGGATGCTGCG